TTTTTTCTTTTATTTTCTTTCTTCATCAGTATTATTTATTTACTTTTTATATTTATATTTATTTCTCTATTATTTGTATATATTGTTTGAATGAGAACTCTTAGCCCTAATACTTATAGCCCTCCAGTGGCTGATTGTATTATTATTCAATAAATAGATAAAAAAAAAAAAAAAAAAAAAAGAAATAGGTAGGAAAGTCGTGTGAGTGGACACACCAGATTTTTAAAGGATTCAATACCAAATGCCTATGAATCAGGCACTTTAATGGCATATACCTGATCTGGGGTTGAGTCTGGCTGTTTCATATAATTATTTATTCTATTATATCGGCTGTGGATCCATTCTGAGCTATTTATTCAAATTTTAGGAGAAATTCAAAGTGATTCAATATCAGCATATATATAGTCATGTGTTCTTCCCAAGAATACTTAATACTTTGACATATTGACATAAGTAAAAAACTCACGCAGTTAACTATTGAAAAATCATTGGGCCAATTTTTAGTTAAAAGTTAAGGAAATACAATGATAAAACAAAAAAAATTATACGTAGTAGGATAATTCACCCTGCTCTCCAATTTCAAAATTTTGAATTTTGTATTTCAATTAGATCTTTTGTGATTTCTATATGATTATTAAATTGAAATTGGCCACTTTTAAAAAAATAACTTATTTATAATTAACCTATACAAAAAAAGTAATGCTTCATGCATAAATAATACTCTATTTACATAGATTTAAATATTAAAGTGTATGGCATCCGGGACTGATGTACAAACTCCGTGAATTCCTACCACCTACATACTTCCTCATTATCCGTTCCTACATTACTGACAGATACTTCAAAGTCAATCATAACAATGCGTGTTCATCTCTTTTTACTCAGTCTGCCGGTGTTCCTCAAGGTAGTATTCTAGGTCCTATCCTTTAAACAGTTTATACAGCTAACATCCCAACCCAATCCAACACTGTCATCACCACCTATGCCGATGACACGTGTATCCTATCAGTTAATAACGATCCCAAACTCTTCAATCACATATCACAAGCCTTGAAGAATGGTGTAAAAATTGGAGAATAAAAATAAATTCCAACAAATCCCATTAAATCACCTTTACCCTCCGTCGTAAACCTATAACTTCTTGTCCTACAGTATCCTTCAATAATACTCCACTTATTCCTGTTGAGCAAATCCGCTACTTAGGACTCCACCTTGACAAACGACTCACTTGGAACCCCCATACCAGACTAAAACGACTAGAAACCGCCCGAAGTTTTCGACTAATGCAGCACTTACTAGACAAACGATCTAAGCTTTCAATCAGTTATGAACGACTCGTATATATGACAATAATAAGACCTATTTGGACTAACGGAATTGAGCTTTGGGGCTCCACTAAACCATCGATTTCCTCTCGTATCCAATCCTTACAATCCAAAATCCTTCGTAAAATCCTCAACGCTCCTTACTTTGTCACAAATAAAATCATCCATAAAGACCTTAATGTTCCATATGTTTCAGATTTGGCCCAATCCAGATACCTGTCCTTCCATAACAAACTGCAGAACCATCCGAATTCTCTCGTTTCAAACCTTGCTTTCTCCACGATCCCTGATAACCCTCCGAGGCGTCTGAAAAGAAGATGGCCTCGGGATCTTCTAATATAGAACTTTAATTTGAGTTCTATCAATGGGTAGTTTCTCTTCATGTTGTACATGCCATGTTACCAATTTCACATTTATTTATTGTATTCTCTATGTAATACAGTTGTAAATTGCATTAAAATAATAAAAAAAAAATATTAAAGTCTGTATCTGAAAGTTATAGAGCAACTTCTGGACACAAACAGAAAAAAGTAAAGAATTAATAATACAAAGTTCTAAGTCAGATGAGGCTAGTTGCGCAGTTATTGTATTTCTTACTTATTTTGAAGTAATACTATAAATACTGTAAAGAATCCGTTATTAATGACTACACTAATTCGCTTCTCCTTGATATGGGTGCTTGAGCGAGGACAATGGTCTAGAATGGAGAGACGTTAAGTCCGTCATGGAGGTGCCGTTTGAATGAGGCGTGAGTTCGAAAGCGTGCTGTAGTCACGAGCGGTATCAGTGACGTGAGAACACGATAATATCTAGTGGCTCCCATTCAGTAGTCACTCCTTTCATTCATTTATATAGCCTTCTCTTCGCCACCATAGCTCAATAATACTGCTATCAAAGTCGACAGCACAAGTAGCGGACCGTTTAGCGGTATTCCAGGGTCCCAATAGTATAATAAAAATGAACTTCATAAATTATATTATCACGTACTAATATTATTTATGTTTTCTGAAACATTATTACCGTTATTGCTTGATTTTTCTTTTATATGTTGGATTGATTATTTTTTTCTTCATAATTTCACTATTATCAGACGTCGTAAACCAACGACTTGATGTCCTTCAGTATTGTTTAACAACACCTCAGTTATTCCTGTTGAACAAATCCGTTACCTAGGACTCCACCTGAACAAACGTCTAGCTTGGAATCCTCATACCAGACTGAAACGAAAAGAAACCGCTCGACGTTTCCGACTACTTCAACACATACTAGAAAAACGCTCTAACCTTCCAATTAATTAGAAACGAATCATATACATGACTATAATAAGGCCTATTTGGACATACGGACTTATGGGGCTCCACCAAACCTTCAAATTACTCTCGTATCCAATCCTTACAATCCAAAATCCCTCGTAAAATCCTCAATGCTCTCTATTTTGTTGCAAATAAAACTATCCATAATGACCATTATGTTTCTTATGTTTCAGATCTGGTCCAATCCAGATAACTATCCTTCCATAATACACTTCGGAATCATCCCAACCCTCTCGTTTCTAACCTAGCTTAGACATATTAGAAGAGTGCTACCAATGGGTAGTTTCTCAACATGTGTTTCAGGTCATTATTTACTAGATTTTTTTTTTTATACTGTTGTAAATATCATATAAATAATAATAAAATAAACTATTATCAGAACCACTATAAAACTTTAAATTCACAAGATTACCTTTTCTACTTTTCTTTGTCAAAACGAATAGACACCGTTCACGTCTAAGATGTCAGTGTTCAGTTGTGTCGTTAAAAATGCATATTTTTTTTTATAAGGGAATGCTGAAGTTCAATGCATAAAACAGTCATAATACAGATAGATTATTATATGGATAATAATAATAAAAATCTGCCTCAATAAGGGCATTTGGTATTATGGCTCTATGCTTACATTCATACTTTTTATATACTAATTATAATACAAGCTAAGAAGTAAAAAAATAAGAAGGAAACATGTAAAAAAAAGTAAAAATATTCACATTAAAAGAAAAAGAAAAGTAGAAAGATATTTGTAAAAAGAAAAAAAATCATTGTAAAAACAATAAAAAAAAAAGAAAAAATAATTACTTGTTACACATTCATTCCTATATACAATATTTACATTCAGGCTAGGCAACTCTGGACCATGCTTTGCCGCTCTCATGTGAAAGACAAAGCAGGATTCTAAGAGATCCTAGCGCTTCTCTGCCATCCGCATCACTATTTGAAAGTCATTGGAAGCTGAGTGAGAGCGCTTAAGCCATGACTAGAGAAACTGGCCACTGCCAGAACTCCAATATAAAAAAGACAGAATACAACCTTTTTTTCTTCCTCGCCTTTTAGGCTACTCGGGTTTTTTCCCAGGCTAGGGGAGAGTACGAGGGATTAATACCAGAGTTGGAAGCCCTTCCATCACCAAGACGCGAACTCCTAATTATTTTATCAAGTTTATGAGGTTGCCGCTTGACCATCCCTAACCCCACTCCGGAGAGACAGACTAAAATTATTATTTTAGGAGGATAATTGAGGCACCGTTCTATGCCGCAAATGAAATACTACACAAGGAATCTGTTACTATTGTAAAACGGTTTTTAACATCTATAGTTTAATTCTAAGATTAGGGTTTTAGTGGATAATTAATAATAATGAAAATAAATTCTACAGGATTGCTCTGATTTGTACGTCATATTGTTGTGGTATCAACACGGTGATTAAAAAAAAAAAATATATGGTGGGACACCGGCGGATATATTTTTTATAATCCTACAAAAAATATAAACTTTAAATCAGAAAGTAATGTTTCTTTATTTTTATCTATTTTTGGGTCTTGTTTAGATTAAGCCTGTCAGTTATTTTATTTAGTAACAATTACTTATTGATAAATTAAAAAATATTAAAAAAACATATGATTAATTTAATAGAAACTTTCCATACATAACCAAAAAACTGTAACGTACTTTAAATGAGTTACTCCAGGTACCTCTGGAGGCTAAAATTCTCCTATGTCTTTAAAATTTCCTTAGGTAGAATTCCTCTTTGTTCAAAGAAAATCCTGGATCGTTCCTCTTCTTTGCATAAATAGTAAACTTCAAAAATATTCATCGTGTTATCACTTTATAACCGCAATTACACAAACAATACTAAATTAAATAACATGTAATTTTATTTCTATATCAATGGTATCAAGTTTCATAACAACTGTTACTAAATATCATTAAAAAATCACTGGCGGTCCTAATCTAAACAAGAAACCTATTTTTTTTTTACACATTGCTAAACAAAATCAAAACTTTCATCAAAGACCAACCTACTACATGAATCCGTTGACAGAAATTATTAAACGCATTCTTAGAAGACACCCCAACAGCCCACCACGAAGATTACATAGGCGGTGGCCAAGAGATCTAAGATAATTTGTTTCCTTCAATGGGACGCTGTGAAGCCGTTAACAAAACTTGCTCATTGCAAAGCAATATGTAGATCGCAAATTTAATTTTATTTCACAATTTCATTTTTGGTAAATAAATAAATATTTTATTAAATGATTATTTTTCTCAAATTTCAGTCAAATCACGAATAGAAGATATATAAAACAAATGAAATGAAATATAGAGAATCTTTAAAACATTTTTTATAATGTATCTTTAACGTGAATAATGATAAACATAAAATAACCCTGGAATGTGAAGGTCGAAATATACTTTTACTACAGACATCAATGCCATTCACTTCACCGGTCCTCGACCAACTATAGGCCCCGCAAATCACTGTGTGTACGTAGCTCTTGGGTATTGATGAAAACGCCCCGGGTGCGGTATAAATTTCTTCTCACTTCCGTCTCAGATCCAACTACTGCAATATTTCGCTTTGTAAAGTGTGCTTTTGAGAAGTAGCGGTGAAACGGTGCGCTATGACTAACCGCATGGTCCCGGATCGGCCGCCGATGTTCCGACTCCGGATTGCAGTCATCCGCGACCAGAGGTTGCTCTTAGGAGGGACAATATCGGGCATTTCCGAAAGATACCATCTTCGGCAAAGGATAAGAGCCACTTTAAGGGCCACAAAGTGGTACTTAATTCCAACCACCACTAAACAAACCCATTATCTTATTTTACTCCCCCCGGAGCTCTGTGATTTACCCATTCCACTTAGTTAATGGTAGCATTGCCGATGCCGAGGGTTGTCTCTAGCTGCTATCCAGGTATTGGTTGATGCTGGGTATTTACGTGTGGGTGGATAGTCACTTCTTTTTTTTTCTCTTCCATATTTTTCATCAGAAAGGTGAAAGAGATAATTATTATTATTAATCAATCGATGTACGGTCATTATATATTCAATATAACTTTCATCGTTTCATTTTGGATCATTCCATATCAAATCAACCAGAGCCTGACCCAGAAGGTCTTGAATTTTGATATTTTTTTAAAATAAAAAAACGTTGCATTTTTAAAATAGTTTTGGAGCTATTTCTCAAGAACTATATGATTTAGAAAGCAGAAACAGGTGTTATAATTTTCGATTGTTTGTGCTCTTATGATTGTTTCTTCTTATATACAACATGAATTTTGAAAAAAAACTCTCTTTTTGATTTTTATTTAAAAATTATATTTTATTCTAACATATAATGGCTAAAGTTGTGCCGAATTTCAAAGTGGAGAAACAATGGGTTCACTAGGTAAAAAATGTTGACCAACAACAAGAACATTGTCAAGGTCCGCCAAAATATAAATATTTTTTAATTTAAATTTATGCATATCTATTTTTATTTAAATGTTACAAATGTGCAAGTTTATTGAAAGAAGTACAACAACTTGAATAAAATATTTACAAATGACATTGCATTGGTGTTATGATTTCTTAAAAAAAAAAAAAAAAAAAAGTAAAGATGTAAATGCATAAAGTTTATATTTACAAATCTTCATTACAGGGAATAATACATACTTGTAAATATAGTCTCAAAATATATTTTAATCCATCTTTGAAAAGACGGTATTTACAGAAATCTCGGTTTTCGATCTTCTGCGTTGTCTAAATAATCTGTATTATGTATTAGAATAAATAAAAAGCGTTAGATCGTAATATATTTTCGTATTCTTAGACTTAAAAACACAAAATCAAAAGTTGTCTCAAAAATTTTTATTTATTTTTTATTTATTTATTAATGATATTTACAACTGTATTACAAGTAAAAATACATTCAGTAAATGTGTACAATAGAATATAATAACATGAAATCATTTGGTGAGAAACTACCCACTGGTAGCACTCTAAAAATGTATTTACAAAAGGAGATCTCGAGGCCATCTTCTTTTCAGACGCCTCGGAGGGTTGTCAGGTATCGAAAAGGAAGCAAGGTTAGAAACGAGAGGGTTAGGATGGTTCTGAAGTTTATTATGGAAGGAAAGGTATCTGGATTGGGCCAGGTCAGAAACATAAGGAACATTAAGGTCGTTATGGATGATTTTGTTTGTGACAAAGTAAGGAGCTGTGAGGATTTTACGAAGGATTTTGGATTGTAAGGATTGGATGCGAGAGGAATTCGATGGCTTAGTGGAGCCCCAGAGCTCAATTCCGTAAGTCCAAATAGGTCTTATTGTAGTCATGTATATGAGTCTTTTGTAATTGACTGGGAGCTTAGAGCGTTTGTCTAGTAAGTGCTGGAGTAGTCGGAAACGTCGAGCTGTTTCTTGTCGTTTCAGTCTGGTATGAGGATTCCAAGTTAGACGTCTGTCTAAGTGGAGTCCAAGGTATCGAATTTGTTCAACAGGGATAAGTGGGGTATTATTAAAGGATACTGTAGGACAAGAGGACATAGGTTTACGACGAAGGGTAAACGTGATTTGATGGGATTTATTGGAATTTATTTTGATCCTCCAGTTTTGAAACCATTCTTCAAGGTTTGTGATGTGTGATTGAAGGGTTTGGGATGCAATTGTTGGGTCGTTATTAATTGATAGGACACATGTATCATCGGCATACGTGGTAATAACAGTGTTAGGATGGGTTGGGATATCAGCTGTATAAACTGTGTAAAGGATAGGACCTAGGATACTACCTTGAGGAACACCAGCGGACTGGGAAAAAAGGGATGAATAGGCATTATTATGATTTACTTTGAAGGATCTATCAGTTAGATAGGAACGGATAATGAGGAAGTATGTAGGGTGTAGGAATTTACGGAGTTTGTAAAGCAGTCCTGGGTGCCAGACTCGATCAAAAGCCTGTTCTACATCGAGAAAGACTCCCGTGCAGTACATTCCGCGCTCCAATGCAGAGGAGACAACATCCACCACACGATGGCATTGCTGGATAGTGGAATGGGATCTGCGGAATCCAAATTGATGATCTGGGATAATGTGATTAGAATCTAGGATGGGGTGCAGGCGTTTTAGGATGAGCTTTTCCAGGATTTTGCCTAGGATGGGTAAAAGGGAGATAGGGCGATAAGAGGATGGGTTTTCTGGTGGCTTTTTGGGTTTATGTATCATTTTGATAATAGATAATTTCCAAGGGTTAGGAAAGTATGTGGTTCGCAGAACAGCATTATATATATACGTAAGGAATAGGATGGCTTTCCGAGGAAGCAGTTTTAGGATCTGGGATGTAATTAGGTCGTGTCCAGGAGCCTTTCGGGAAGGTAACCTTTGAATGATGTCGGATATTTCTGAAGGATGAAAGGCTTTAGGTGGAAGAGACATTTGGAGTGGGATATCCAGTTCTGCTTCAATACATTCAAGGTGATTTGGGTTATGAATATCAGGGTGTGGATTAAAGGTTTTAAAGAGGTGATGAGCAAAGATTTGTGATTTTTCTTCATCGGATTTGGACCAGGTTTGAGCTTCAGTAAGAAGTGGATGATTACAGTCTTTAAATTTCAGGAGCCTTTTAGTGGTCGTCCATAGTGATTTGTCGGTAGGTGTAAGTTTTTCAGTAAAGTTTAGTAAATTTTGAATCTTGTATTTTCTAATTTCAGATTTTAGTTTGTTAGTCAGTTGGGTATAGTGAGTTTTATCTGTTGGATATCTGGTTCTATGCCACTTCGATCTTGCTCTGCGTTTTTCCTTCAATAAGATACGAATATGCTGTGGCAAGTCAGTCTTTTGTGAATTGTTGAACTTATTGATAAAAGTGTTATTATTTATACTGTCTGTTATTGATGCTGTCAGTTTTTCAATGGCACCATTAATGTCCTCTTTTGTCTTTAGCGGAATTTTTAAGTCTAGTTTGTTTTCCAAATCTTCACGAAATTGGTCCCAGTTCACTCGTCCTGTGATCAATTTAGGAGGTGATGGTTTAGGAGCATAGCTCGAATGTAGTGAAAGTAGAACTGGACTATGGTCTGAAGAAAGGTCATCAAGGGATTTGATTATGGTTTGTGAGGAGGAGATCTGAGAAGTTATAAATATATCTAGGATATCGGGACGTTTTTTGAGGGATGTTGGCCAATAAGTAGGACTCATGGGCGAAAGGATTGAATAATTGTTGGAAGATGAAACACGTGATAGGATGTTACCGCGGGGGTTGGATGTTCGACAACCCCATCGTTGGTGTTTAGCATTGTAGTCCCCTCCAGCAATGAAGCGCGATCCGAGGGATTTGAATAAGGAATCAAGGAGGTTATAGGAGAGGGAATTACCAGGAGGACAGTATACAGCTGAGAATGTGAGATGGAAAGGGCGAGTTGAAAGGACTACGGAAGTTGATTGAATGGCATCAGTTGGAGTGGAAGGAATAAGGGAATGGGGTAATGATTTATGTATAAGGATGCAAGAACCGGCATGGGAGGTGTTGTCTGGGTGATCAGTTCTATAAGTGAAGTAGTCACGTATGTAGAAATGTATTCGTTTAGTGAAGTGAGTTTCAGTCAATAGAGCAATGTCAATGTGATTATTATGAAGAAATAAGTCAAGTTCGTCACGGTGGTTACTTTGTCCGTTAGCATTCCATAAAAGGATAGTTAGGGGCTTTGTGCTCATCGTTGGAAATTGAACGGAATTTCGGTCAGGATTCTGGTGAGAAGAGTGATAAGTGGTTTTATAGTATTTTGCAGGTCCAATAGGAAGGATGATAGAATGGAGGTTAGGTCGGATGGATGTTGATTGTGAATTGGATTCAGGATAGGTTCTTGTGGTGGATTAGGAGTGTTAGCTGAGGGCGGGATCCGTCGTTGTGCACGAGGTGGGTCTAGATTGGAAGGTACTTGTGCTGCACTTTTTTTCTGGGCGTTAGGATGGGACTGTTGAGGATGCTGCGGTGGTAATTTGACTCGTAAGGGTATATGATGAGGGAGAATTTGCTGACGTGGAGGATGAGATTGGGGATTGTGAGATTGAGGTTTGCATTGGGAGATTTGAGGCGCCTGAATTTGAGGCTGCTGCTTCTTCATGGTGATTGGTGTTTTTCTAAAGTCCTGCTGAGGTTGATCAATTTCTTTTGAAGTAGTCGCTAGCTGTGTATTTTGAGTAGACGTTTTTGGCAATTCAGGAAAATTTGACAGATTATCAATTTCAGGTAGATGGGTGACACTTTCTTGGTTCAGTTTTACGCTTTTCGAGGCAATGTTCTGAGCTCTCTGCTTATAAAAATGTTTATAAACTTTGCATCCTCTGTAGTTTGCTGGATGTTCTTCACCACAAAGGGCACATTTCGCAGGCAGGTCTCGAGGTCTCTGACAAGTGTCAGATGCGTGGGGGCCGGCACATTTCACGCACCTGGCCTGGTGATGACAATAAGTCTTTGTATGCCCCAAGTCTTGGCACTTAGTGCATTGCTCTATTATAGGCTTTTGTCTAGGCTCTTCGAATTTAATGGTGGAATATATAAGCCTCTTCACTTGGAAAATTTCGATGTTATTGCTGGCAGGCTCTAAATCGACGAAAAATAGTGGTAAAGGATATTTTTCCGTTGGGTGTAGTACGCATGATATGTGCCTAACATTGTGATCTATTTCTTCTAGGCCACTTTTGATGAAAGATATTGGGGTGCTTGAGTGTAGTCCTCTTAACACCACTCGGTATGGCTTTTCTTGTCTTAATTGATAACAATGAAAATCATAGTTTTTGGACGTAAAGTAATTTATAAGTGCTTTGTAATTTTCTCGAGAGTTTGTGTTTATTTTGATATCATTAACTCTGGAGAAACAGCGGAAATTGGTCTGTCCAATCAGACCGGCTATTTCTTGACCAAATGTAATGAAGTTATCGACTTTTGATATGAAAATAGGTGGCGGCTCGGGCTCAGAAAACTCTTGAGGCTCCGGAACC